AGGCAATGCACTTAGCCATTTCAGGTATACGTTTTCATATGCACACCTCAGCTAAGTAGTGGAATCCGCACTCAAAAAATAAGGTATTTTAGAGTCTATGGACTGACTTGATGTTACTTCTTCGAGTTACTAAAGAAACTTGACATTCGTTACTCATTCATTCAACCAGCAGTTGGGTGCACTGACAGTGTTCCAGGCTCTGAATACAATACATAAAGCACAAGGATCCTTGCCCCACTGGGTCTTACAAGCCGAAGAGTTAGGTTTTCCTTCTTTTTCTTTTAGGATTTATTTATTTTTGGCTGTGCTGGCTCTTCATTGCCCTGTGTGGGCTTTTCTCTAGGTGTGGCGAGCAGGGGCTCCTCTTCACTGGGGGGCATGGACGGCTCCTGGCGCTGCTTCTCTTGTTGCAGAGCACGGGCTCAAGGTGTATGGGCTGCAGTCGTTGCAGCACATGAGCGCGGTATTTGTGGCGCACCGGCTTAGTTGCCCGGCGACACGTGGGATCTTCCCAGATCGGGGATCAAACCCGTGTCCCCTGCATTGGTGGGTGGGTTCTTACCCACTGGGCCACCAGGGAAGTCCTTAAGTTTATAATTAAAAGGGCATGGGGACTGTGCGGGAAAAAACTTAAGAGCAGAACAGAATCGATCAACTAGGAATAGATCTGTCTGTCACACTTACTAGAAGTCAGTATATGATCTAGGATGCACCGGCAACCATCACAGAAGGACAGAATTATTCAGTAACTAATCATTGTTGGAATATTTGGTTAGCAATATGAGGGAAAGTGTCAAGCTAAGTTCTTACCTCAAACCATACAACCAAATAAATTCCTTGTGGATTAACTAGTTAAATAGGGATGTATTTTTAAAACTGAAAAAGAAGATTAAAAACAAAATTTGTCATACTTCCAGAGACCAAAAAACTGTATCATATCTCTGGATGGGGAAGTTTTAAAACTTGGAAATAAAGAATAGACAAAGAATAGAATAGACAAATATAAAATTAGAAATAAAAGGGACATTTAAAAAAGACCATAGAAAACTTGACCATATAGACGTATGAACCGTCTCTATGTCAAAATTAAAAAGCAAAGGGATTTCTCTGGTGGTCCAAGAGCTAAGGCTCTCTGCCATCAATGCAGGAGGCCCTGGGTTCAATCTCTGGTCAGGGAACTAGATCCCACACACCACAACATGCGCAGCCAAATAAATAAATCATAGAAATAAAAACCCATTAAAAATAAAAATTAAATCAAAAGGGAAAACATAATTTTTTTTACAGAAAAAATATAAATTAAGCCAAGTAGTTAAAAAAATTTTTATCTATTAAATTAGGAAAAGAAATTCTCAGCGTCCACTAGGATGAAATGAAGTAAGTGGAAGCTTTCACATGTTGAACTGCTACTGGCATTGTAAATGGATAAAACCTTTTGGAAAGCTTTATTGACACACTCTATGTACATATTATTACAAACATCTTTTTTAAGTAAGCAAACAAAACAGAAATGTACCAAAATGATACAGAAATAGTGTCAGAGTGATGGGAATGTGTTATATTTTTTTCTATTTCCCAAATTTTATGCAATTGCATTACTTCATTAGTTTACTAATTTAATTAGACTTATTCTTACCCATCTGAACTTTACATATTATCTCTTTATATTACAGAATCTCAAAGAATTTTATAACACCAGAAATCTGGTGTTGAAGCCACGATTTTCAAAATAATCAAAAAACAATCATTCCATTTAAAATATAAACTTGGCCATAGACAGGTCTTGCATTTTCCCCGTTTACCCTAGAAAACTAGTGCTTTTGTGGTAGGTGAGCATCTTTTTCAAAAGCAAGGACTTCCCTGGTGGTCCATCGGCAAAGACTCCACTCTCCCCAAGCAGGGGGCCTGGGTTTGATTCCTGGTCCGGGAACTAGATCCCACATGCCACAACTAAAATCCCGCATCCCACAACTAAGACCCGGCAAAGCCAAATAAAAAGCAACAACAATAATAAAAATAATAAAAAGCAGCAGGAGGAGCGGGATATCTTTGTAAAACTCAAAACTGTGTCAGCAGTGAGTTAGCTTTCTGATGAAAGCACACCCCCTAGCAAACTGATCAAAGAAAGTGCCTCTGCTCCTGCCCACAGGCTTGAAAGAAAGATCTTCAAGGAATCCCAGCCCACTCCAAGCTGCCTCCTCTGGGACGGAGCTAACAGCAGCCCTCTTCACAGGCCTCTCACGTGCAGTTGCCCAAAGAGACACAGGGCTTAGCTAGAGTGGAGGTGAGTGGGGGCTCAGAGCTTTACCCCAGGCAATGGAAGGGTAAGGAGCCTTCTCCTGCCTGTTCCATCACACAGAAACACAGAAGCGGGGTGCAGCCCTGCACACCATCAAACACCCACATTACCTACCATTCTCCCAGACTACCACGAGACACCAGCCCACTCCCATCAGGAGGCCTGGGACCCAAACACCAGAAGACAACAACAGTCAGTAAGCACGTGGAGAAAATGAAACCCTTGTGCACTGCTGGTGGGCATGTAAAATAGAACCACCTCTATGGAAAACAGCATGGCAGTTCCTCAAAACATTAAAAATAGAAGTACCCTATGATCCAGCAATTCCACTTCTGCATCTACACCCCAAAGAATTGAAAGCAGAATCTCAAACATATTTGGACACCCATTATTCACAACAGCTAAAAAAGTGTTCGCAGATGATGAATGGAGAAACCGAGTGGGGTCTACACAGCGGAATGTCACTCAGTCTTAAAAAGGAATGAAGAACTGACAGAGGCTACAGCTTGGATGAATCTTGAGAATATCATGCTGAGTGAAATAAGTCAGACACAAAAGGACAAATCCTGGATCATTCGATTCGCAGTACATCCCTGGAGTGTCAAATCTACAGAGACGGAAAGAAGAATGGGGGCTACCAGGGGGTGATGGAGACAGATGAGGAGTGAGTGTTTGATGGAGACAGACTTTAAAGTGGGGGAGACGAGAAAGTTCTGGAAATGGATGGTGATGATGGTTGCACAACAGTGTGAAAATACTTAATTCCAGTAAACCGCACACTTAAAAAATGCTAAAGTAGTAAATTGTATGTAACGTCTGTTTTATCTATAACAGGCCACTGCCGCATGAATGCTAAAGGCACCAGTCCATACGGATCTTTTACTCGAAGATGCAGATGGCTCCTGGGGACAGCCCCGTGAAACAGCACACACCTGTGGACACGAGACAGATGCAGGCAGGCCAGGTGACCGAGGGCAGGCTCACACTCGCGTCTGAGGCCCCACGAGGGGACTGCACGGGAGGCAGAGCACCCGCACCATAAAACTGCAGAGCAGTTTCCTTATCGCCATCTCCGCAACTCAGAATGTTTTTTCACTAAAGTCGTTTACCAAGGGCCAAAGTTCTCAGCCCACGGAACTCCCAGGGCTGGGCTCCCCCGCTGCTGGCAGAGTCCTTCCATGTCCCGCAGAGCTTTCTGGAGGCTGGGAGGAGGGCCCCTGGGTGGGGCAGCAGACGATGCCACCGCACCATACATGAGGGGCTGAAATGAGGCCGGTCAAGAGGTCTGGTCTGGGGACTTGCTTCAACTGCCCAGGTTCAGGGACTATTTTGAGAATTTCATTTAGCCAGAGTCAAACACGGCAATTTGTAACTTGCCTAATTTAAGTCACCTGTCCCCAAGCCGGGGTCCCATTCAGCTCCTCCTGCATTGTTGGCTGGACAAAGATCTAAGCACATTTTTCTTTCTAAAACCCGGTCCAGTGGCTCTCTGAGGCTGTCTTCAGTCTTCTAAAGACTCTCTGGCCACCTACTGGATTTTTTCAGCACGAGGGCTGGGCAGAAAAAGAGCAGCTCGTCGCCCTTATTCAAAGGAAAGCAAGAAGAGATGCAGACTAGAGGCTGGTGAGACTTCACCATTAAGTACCCAAGGGGATTTGCAAGAGAATAGCTCAGACACAGCCCTATGCCCTCCTCTCAAGGAAAAAGCCAATTATTCCTCCTACCTCAAGAGTTGAGCAGGAGTGTGGCACCTGAGAGCTCTTGTGACATCTTTATCCTGGGCACCAGGAGGCGAAAAGAAAAGTGACAAAAAGTCAAGTCCCTTGGCTGCTTTTTTTTCCCTAAGTTACCAGGAGGAAGGAGGTTTAAATGGCTTGTCTGTTTTTACACATATAAAACACGATTATCAGCTACTTTCACTTTCTCACAAACAGCTTTAGTCTTCTAAATGAGTCCTGCATAAGGCGTGTAGCGTAAACCAAAGTCATCTTGATTAATAAAGAGATGTTGAAAAAAAACACCCTCCCCACCCCCACTTCGTTTTTTAAACAGGAGGATTCTGTCAGATGTGGTCCTTGAGATCAGAGAGCAGAGTTAGGAGAAAAAAAAAAAATCGAAGTGACGACTCATTCAGGAAGAACACACCGAAAGTGAAAGATTCATTCATGAGTTTCTAGCTCTCAGACCGTGTCTCAGAGGAGAAGGAGGTTCACGGTGGAGGCTGAGAAAGGCTGGGCCGTGTGGGAAGCAGTGGGGTCGCCAGGCTGTGCTGGGAACTGATGAGCTGTTTCAGCCAGCGTGGTCACAGTTGTGCAGAACAGAGTCCCCAAATGACAACTTCTCAAAGCCACATCGGAGCTGGGGAGGTGCTGGTCGTTGGAGACCGTTTCCCCCTCCGCCCGGTGCTCATCCTGGCAGGTGGTACCGCTTGGCGGGGGGGTGCAGGAGGAGGAGGCGGCCTGGAGAGCTGGTTTCAGACACATTCAGCCCCGTGAGGAGGACCAGGGGCCTGGCGGCTCTGGTTCACACATGTACGCCCAGCACTCACAGCCGCCATGCACACAGGAGGAGACTGGGGTCAGAGAGCGACTGGCTGGAGGTCCAAAGCTACAGGAAGCTGGGGCTTGCCTTCAGGCCGCCCACCCCAGCTCCCAGGGCTGAGTATTCTCACTTCTTGAAATCTGAAAGCCCTCCCGGGGACTCAGAGCCTCCGGAAGGCACTAGACAGGCCCACAGGGCCATGCAGCACCCGCAGCAGCCGCGCGTCACCAGGAGGTGGGGCCCGGATGCAGATTCCCCGGGGGTCTGAGGGCAGAGGCAGGGAAGGTCAGGCAGAGAGGAGAGAGCAGCTCAGCGGCCTGCAGGCTGGGGTGCAGACACCCACAGACGCTCCCCCTGGTGCCCCTCTGCCTTGAGCCTCAGCGCTGCCCCTGCCCTCTTCCATTGGCCCACCTGCTGAGGATAAGCCCCCAGACAGGCTCGCCTTAGCGTGGCGGCTGCAAGGCTGACTGGAGTGAGCTGTCCCGAGCCACAGCAGCTTGCCCTGGAAACAGGTCTGGATTGTGAAGCTGGATACGAAAGGAAATTACCGTGTCCTGAGCGCTGACTCCATCTTGAGCCGTGTGGTCTGCCTACAGGATCGCACTTAACCTTCGCCACACTCCCCGAGGCAAATATCTGCCCCCATCTTACAGAAGGGAGGGTTAGTGGGATTGGATCTCCCAGGATCAGAGTGAGCCTGTCTGGCTCCAAAGTCCTGCTTTATCACCTGTTCCTGGAGGTGGCTCAGATGGTAAAGAATCTGCCTGAGAAGCTAGAGACCCAGGTTCAACCCCTGGGTCAGGAAGATCCCCTGGAGAAGGGAATGGCAACCCACCCCAGTATTCTTCCCTGGAGAATTCCATCAACAGAAGAGCCTAGCATGGGGATCACAAAGAGCCGGACATAACACTTTCCCAAAATCATCCCAGCGGGGTCCCGCTGACGGGTTTGGCCTCTACTTGAAAGACGGATTCAGACTCTCTTCAAAGAGGCTGAAGTTAAAGCCGACCGACAAACTGAACTTCGTCCGCTTTGTTCAGACACCTCTGAGCTGCCCTGGTCTGCTGAAGGCCTGCCCTGCCCGCATGCCTTGCCGTAAGGAGGGGAAGTGAGAGGACCACGAAATGCCAGGTGTTGCCAGGGAGAAGCCGGCTGAAAACACCCGCAGCCGTACAGACCCTATTGGAATGGCTCTCAAGACGTCAGGAAAGCTGGGGAAGACCCTCCCTGATGTAGACCACGGTGGAGGGCCCTCCCTGGGGCGTCCGGTGGCCTCTCTGCTCCCAGAGCAGAGGGAGATCCCACATGGTGCATGGCGCGGCCAAAGGGGAAAAACAAACAGGGTGGAAAGAGTTACCAGCAGGCTGGAGGACCGCTGCTCTGAACACATAGGTCCTCTTTTCCTGCTGCACCACGAGCGCGTGGAGCTCCGCCAAGATGACAGGACAAAGGTGAAGGACGGCTGATAAGCTGAGCCAGAGGTGGAGGCTGAGAGACTACGAATCTGCAAAGCCAGGAGGAGCAGCCCCAGGAAGGGAGAGGAACGGGAGAGGTCCAGACATCACTGGCACAGCGAGGGGGCTCCGCCGGCCAGCTGAGGGAAGCAAGTCATTTTCCAAGAGAGGAAACCACCCAGGAAACGGGTCAAGATGCACGCTTTGACTTTAGACAGGTGATCAGCGTGTTCCCCACGCACGGCCTACTGTGGCCGGCCACCCCTGCAGGCTTCGTGGGCTGCACAGATAGTGGCTGTTTCAAATAACAGGGCAATGTGAATGTGGTGAAAATGCAACTCAAAAATCTGGCCAGCCAGGGCTCCGATTCCATTCGGAATTGAAGACTCTTTGTGGGTGGGGATGCCAAGGTGCTCCCCTTTTAGAAGAGACGTATTTCCAGCTCCCAAGGCCTCTGAGAGAGTCCAGAATCGGGCACAGGTTTTTAGACTGTGGAAATGGCAACCTGCTCCAGTGTTCTGGGAAATCCCACGGACTGAGAAGCCTGGCGGGCTACAGTCCATGTGGCTACAAAGAGTCGGACACAACCGAGGGACTAAGCGTGCTGGAGGGGTTGATACACGAGGCAGTCCCAACACTGGGCTCTGACCACAGGTCACAAGGCTTCCTGGCTGTTGGTGGAGAGAGTTCTCTGGGGGAGGTGAGAGGATACATCACATAACTCAGGGTCTCCGGGACCTACATGGCACCTGCCACAAAAACCAAAATGGCTGTGAATCTGAAAGTGTGCCGGGCCCCTAGATTAGGCTCAGCACACCTCTCAGGGTCCCAGTCAAGCCATTTACAGGCCCCAGGGTGTCCCCTCTAGCTAAAATCTGTGCCCGCAAAGAGAGAAGTGATTTGAAGTTGTAACTGGCTGTGCAGAAAGATGGTACAAGGAAAGTGGCCTTGCCGTGGTTATTTCAGTGGTGTCCAGTACCCTCTGGGTGGGCTTGGCTGGTTGACCAGGTTCCACACTGTCCAAACTCCCACTGTAGATGATGTCAGTCCCCTGCGCCTGGCTGCCTCTGCAGTAGAAGATTCCCAGCCTGGATGTGAAGCCTTCCTCACCACTGCCGTCTGCATCAGTATGAAAACATGGTCCACAGATGCCCTGCAAGGGAGCAGCAAGGCCAGGCCCTACCTCCAGTGTGGATGGAGAGAAAGGTAAGAGGCACTCTTTCCTTAAAAGAGAAAGACTACCTAAAGCGAAGGTGCTACAAAAAGGCACAAACTGCTTCTATCTCTTATCAACTGACAGTGTAGGCAAAGGATCTAAACCCTCTGAGTTTCACTGTCTGAACTTATAAAGACATACGATGACATGTAACATGTAAGACTTCGAGGCCTGGGCTTCCCTGGTGATTCAGGGTGAAAGAATCCTCCTGCCAATGCAGAAGACACGAGTCTGATCCCTGGTTCAGGAAGATCCCACGTGCTGCAGGGCAACTAAGCTGCTGAGCCCGTGCTCGAGAGCCCGGGACTCACAAGTACTGAGCCCACATGCTCCAACTACTGAAGCCCGCGTGCTCTAGAGTCTGCGCTGCAACGAGAGACGCCACTGCCATGGGAAACCTGCGCACGGCAACTGGAGACTAGCCCCTGCTCACTGCAACTAGAGAAAAGGCCAGCAGCAATGGAGACTCAGCACGGCCTAAATAAGTAAGTAAAATCACCACAAAGAGTGCGAGACCCACCGCTCTACTAGTGATGACGAGAAAACACCGTATTTGCTGCTACTATTAAGGCTGGTTTTATTCGAAAAAATCTGAATTTCAAATTTCGAAACTAAAACCCAGTTCTCATCATTTGCCTCTGTGTATGTGCCCTCACTTGGCTGACAAAATCTGTCAGATGCTCTGTGTAATGTAATGACAAGGGTTCGTATTTACAGTGTGTGTATGTGTGTGGAAAACGTAATTTCCCAACGGGGGGAAATGCAAACTCAACCTATCCCAAACTGATCTCTTGGATTGACCCCCAAGCCTGCTCCTCGGTGGTGAGGAACTACAACTTTTCCAGTGAAGCACATTTCGCCTCCCCCCAAAGTCGAGTCCCACAGGCCCAGCCTGACGGTCTCTCAGATTACAGCTCACACCAAGAAAGCCCATTTCACTTCAGTTTCTCCTAACCCTCTCTTCCCGGGCACATCCTAAAGATTCTTCAGAGTCTTCTTTAGAAGAGAGATCGAAAATTCTTCTTGCCCCGTCCAGCCCAAACATCGAATTCCCATGTACCAGGCTGCCGCTTGGCAGCTTTGGAAACTTCACAAGTGAACTGAGCTGTTATGCATAACCAGCCTGTATGATTTTCATCGCACCATTGCAATAAACTGGAGAAAAGAATTTCATTAGTTTACGGTCATTTATAAAACTGCTTTTACTAAATTAGATGCTGGCTTTGGGCCACGTGTGTACGGAGAGGCAGAGGCTAAGATAGCATTATAGAGCAGATCTTCTGATCAGTTACAGGGCATCGCACCATGTTACATCACATTCTCCTGCTGAAGACCCACAGAAGGAAGGTCTTGGTACCAACGGAAAAATCGAGTTTCTCCTGCACAACTGGGTTGCTTTCACATCACAAGGACCCTCTGAGTCTTACTGTCAATCATGTCGCCCATCGGCTTTGAGAGCTCAGAAGCCCAAAGCCAGCTCTGGGGCCCACATCTAGCAAATGGCCTGGATTTCACGACATCGTCTTGGGAATCGACCTCATCCCAAGCTTCAGTTCACATCTCTCCTTGAACCCCAGTTCACCTCCGTATTTATTTTTCTTATATTCTTTTCTTTAAAATATGTTTTAATTTTTTCCTTCCTTCTTTATTTTTATCGCCTTCCTGATTTTTAAACACTGTTGCACTACGCATATTGTCATGACTCCCTTTTCAGAATGAAGGGCTTCCCTGGTGGCTCAGATGGTAAAGAATCTGCCTGCAATGCTGGAGACCCGGGTTTGATCCCTGGCTTGGGAAAATCCCCTGGAGAAGAGAACGGCTACCCACTCCAGTATTCTTGCCTGGAGCGTCCCATGGACAGAGGAGCCTGGAGGGCTACAGTCCACGGGGTTGCAAAGAGTGAGACACAGCTCAGTGACTGAGCTTTCTTGGAATGAAGCAAGGTATATATGAGTTTGCTCTTGTTCAGTTACTCAGTTGTGTCCGACTCTTTGCGACCCCATGGACGGCAGCACTCCAGGCTTCCTTGTCCTTCACCATCTCCCAGAGCTTGCTCAAACTCATGTCCATTGAGTCAGTGATGCCATCCAACCATCTCGTCCTCTGTCATCCCCTTCTCCTGCCTTCAATCTTTCCTGGCATTAGGGTCTTTTCTAATGAGTCAGCTCTTTGCATCAGGTGGCCAAAGTATTAGAGCTTCAGTTTCAGCATCAACCCTTCCAATGAATATTCAGGATTTCTTTCTTTTAGGACTGACTGGCTTGACCTACTTGCAGTGCAAGGGACTCTCAAGAGTCTTCTCCAACATATATGAATAAGTACCAATAAACTGGGTGGAACTTTAACCTACTTCAAACCAAGTTTCTCCTTGAAGACACTGAGCCAAAATCAGCTGCAGTCATTTGCTGTCAATGGTCTATGTTGTCTACTACATTTCCAAACACACGCGAGCAGTTACATAACATTACATGCTTCCAGCTACCCACTTTGAGGGTGCTGGTTTGCAGAGGCTCTCCTGGGATTAGAATAAAGGAAGAACTCTGGGTGAGCAACATGTTATCTTTACTCCCCACAACACCTATGAAAAGCTACTGCCAGGTGAGAAAACTAAGGTGCAAAAAGGTCCCATAATTTGTCCAAGATGACACAGAGGGTAAAGATGACACCAGATTCAGAAGCCAGGCCTGTGGTACCCAAAGGCTCTTGGGGGTAGGTTCATCCGGTGAAAATCCAGGGAGCTGTCCCTTGATGCTGCATTTACTCGCCTTTTTTTAAAGAAAATTTTATTTTTAGAAATGTTTTTTATTTTAAAAAGTTCCTTGAAGTATAGTTGATTTATAATGTGTTAATTTCTGCTGTATAGTAAAGTGAGTCAGTTACACATATATCTGTTCTTTTTCATGTTCTTTTCCTTTATGGTTTATCAACGGATATTGAATATAGTTCCCTGGGCTATGCAGCAGGACCTTGCTTATCTGTGTGCACCATTCTGTGGGCATGTTACACTTCAACAAGATGCTGAAGGAGTAAAGAAAAAGAAATGTTGAAGAGTAAAGACAAAGGCCCTGGGCTCTTCTCTATCTCAGTGTGAAGTCAGGGTGACGACGACAATGTGGCAGAATTTGCATGGAGTAGAGCAGAGCACAAAGCCTGGAGTCACAGGCCTGGGCCCTGATGTTACAGCCTTCACTGGTCCCCACTGGTGGGGTCATTTTTAATGAATGAAACAGTGAACTTAATGAACGGGTTCTTTCTTAGGTCTCCCCCACTCACAGGCCCGTTCTCCAAGGACACCGGGTCAGAGGGAGGCGTAAGTTACAGCCCACACTTGTATGTCTGAGGCCTCGATCATAAGGTCAGGGGCCTAGAGGTTTAAAAAGTAATAAAGACGTTCACAACGCTATAGTATCTTTTTGTTAGCTTTTCTTCTTTTCCACTGAAAACCTGTATAAGCAAATGGAATATCCATAAGGAGATTTTCCACTTTGCTGGATGTGGACCTCTTCAGCAGACCTGGTGATATTTCAGAAGAGTCTCTCCCATCATCCACCCACCAGCCTTCTCTGTCCATGGGATTCTCCAGGAAAGAAGACTGGAGTGGGTTGCCATTTCCTTCTCCAGGGGATGTTCCCAACTCAGGGATTGAACCCGAATCTCCGGCATTGCAGGCAGACTATCGCTGAGCCACCCAGGAAAGCCATCATATGATTAGAAACAAAATAATTTTATCGGTAGCCTAGATAATACATAGTAAGGAAGGTAAGCCTGCCTTTCAAAAGAAAGCCCTGCCATATGAATCATTTTGAAGCTGACATTCTTAGGGCTTATTCATAACATGATTCAGCTTGATGAGAGCAGTGCCGGCATAAAATGGGATCAAAGAGGCAGAAGGAAGGTACTGTGCCGGGTGCAGGGAACCAGGTTCTAGACTTGCCACTAGCGAGTTACCTGGAGCAAGTCTCCCAATGCATAAGGTTTTTCCTTCCCTTTTCAGCAAGAGGGAGAAATCGAGCTGGATGTTTTCATGACCAAATGCTCTACGATCCTAAAGAGGTTCAAAAATACTCATACTGAGCTCCCACGTGCATACGGCACAGTACCAGACACTGAACATCCCTCAGGAAAATTAAGGAGCCCTCTCAGGACACACACAGCCGCCCCATCTCTGCACAGTGGTGAACACATGGTGTACTTGTGGGCAAAGCTAGGCTGATCATTTGAAGACCAGTTCTGGGGGACTTCCCTGGTGGTCCTGTGGTTAAGAATCTGCCTTGTAATGCAGGGAACATGAGTTCAGTCCCTGGTCCGGGAACTAAGATCCCACCTACTTCGGAGCTGCTGAGCCTGCACACCACAGCTAGAGAGTTCATGCACTGCAACAAACGATTCCACAAGTCGCAACTAAGACCCGATGCAGCCAATACATAAATAAAAAATATTCAACAAGACAAAACCAGTTCCGGGACTCCTCCAGCCCCTAGACATCCTTCAGTCTTGTTACAAACCTGGCCATCATCATATGAGCTCTGAAGGATTCTTACCTGGCCCAAGGGCCAGGCAGGGACAACAGAACCAGGGGACACAGTGGGGAGGCCAGGGGAACGATGAATGACATTATAAGCCATTGAGAAGATCTCTCTCAAACTCAGAGTGATCTTAGTGACTGGGCTGAGTGGGTCACTATCAGATGGATAGTAATCGTCCTCTAGAAAACAGAAAATCCTGTTTAAGGGTAGAGTCAAAAGCAGAGCACACAGTGACTCAAGGCTGGGTTCTGGAGAGGCACAGGCACTGTCTTCCTATCACAACCTAGGAGCTGTGTGACCACGGGTGAGTTTCTTTACGTCTCTAAGTCTGCTCAATCAGTGATCAACTGAAGCCGATGAAGAGGATTCTTCTAAGGGATACGTGAAAAGTTACCTGTAAACACTTAGCACAGGTAACAGCTTAATGGACAGAGGCCCCTCTATTCCACCGCACCACCCTCTCCTCTGTCCTCAGGCATCTGCTAAGAAGTCACGAGTCCATCCAACACGCTATACTTCCCCGTATGTGCCTTCCTTTTCCCAGTCCCTTCCTCAAGCTGCGGGGACTCTAAGTGCTCTGCAAGGGCTTGCTAAACAAATGAATAATTCATAAGGCACAGGACACAATACAAAGGCACAATTCTGATCCAACTGGACCCTTTGGGTCCATTTCTGTTAGAGTCCAGCTTATTTTATAATAAAGAAAGGGCAGGATTTTACTTTGAGGGTCCACAATGACAATTCCCCATCAGACGTTTGCTGTGTGCTATGCTTAGTCGTGTCTCACGACTCTTTGCGACCCCATGGACTGTAGCCTGCCAGGCTCCTCTGTCCGTGGAATTTCCCAGGCAAGGATACTGAGGTGGGTTGCCATTTCCTTCTCCAGGGGATCTTCCTGAACCAGGGATTGAACTCATGTCTCTTGCATCTACCTGCATTGGCAGGTAGATTCTTTAACCACTGTGCCACTTGGGAAACACTTCAGATGTTTGAGCAATTTATTTAACCTCTCCACGCCTCCATTTCCTCTTCTGTAAAATGGGGCTAATAATAGTAATTTACTCATAGGCTTAAACATCAAGTGCCTGACACATGGAACCTAAGAGGTTTTACTACCCTATATTAAGTCTTTCTGAAACTGTCCATTAAACAGTAGGTGATCAATGAAAATCTGCAGCCACCACGCCATCAGCGCTATTACCAGGCCCCGTACCATCTGCCCGTTAGCACCACCAGAGAGTCATTAAAATATGCAAATCCCTGCCTCCTCCTCCTCCCCGTTGTCTTGCTCCTTTAGTCTAGGTCAGGCACAGGAATCTGCATCTGCAGTAAACACCCCGAATGAGTGAGTCCCAGAAGACAATCACTGAGCCAGCAGACACCGCCTGGAACACGCTAGAGAAACCGGATCAGATGTTGGGTGATTCCCCTCTCCCTCCAAGAGACGGATTTATGGTTTGGGTAAAAACCATTAAGAACACACTGGTTTTCTCACTGGTTTCACTTTGAGTTTCTGCCTCCTGTGACGCAAAGTGAAATCATACAGAGTTTGGGGCTTCACCTCCCACGTGGGGCAGATCTGCCACGTGATCAGCAGGCTGAGAACTGAAACCAGAGGCGGCAAGTTGAAGGGAACCTGTGTGAATAGACATGAACACATTTACATACATGCGTATGTAGACACATGCACACACGCATACACACACATATACATGTTTTGCTGTTGTTTAGTCACTAAGTAGCATCTGACTCTGTGCGACCCCCTGGACCGTAGCCCGCCAGGCTCCTCCGTCCATGGGATTCCCCAGGCAAGGATGCTGGAGTGGGCTGCCATTTCCTTCTCCGGGGATCTTCCCCACCCAAGGATGGAACCCACGTCTTCTGTATTGGCAGGCAGATCCTTTACCATTGAGTAAATATACATATAGATGTATATATATATTTTCTCTTTTCTTTCTCTTTTAAAAAAATTACAACTCCTCAGAGGCGTGTGTGACCCGTGACAAACGGCAAGAGAACAACGCGAGTTTTCATCCAGAGAACTGGTCCTTTGCAGGATGTGAGTTGAGTTGTGAAGCTGTGACTCCAATCCCAAAGGGTGTGGCATCTTTAGGACAGAAATTAGGGGAACGGAAGAGCACTGGAAATAAAACCCACAAGGGTCTCAGGCACATGATCAAGATGGAACTAGAATGATTTCAAAAACTGAAAAGAAGTAACAAAACTGAAAGCAGCCTGACATGTAAAACAGAATGAACCAGATTTCCAGAATTTTCACAGAGGTTTCAAAAACAGATGTCAGTGGGATACAATGCTTTAAAATTATGCAAAATGGGAAAATGTTCAATCCTATGAAAACAAGGGTGATGGGCAGTCACCCAGACAGAAGAGTCCACATTTCCTCTCTGCTCCAAGCAGTATCTTATGCAGCGTGAGCACTTCATAATTCTTCATCAGAGATAACCATAATCAGCTCACAAACACACTAAAAAACACAACAATATTGTACACCCCAGAAAAAACTTTTAAAATGCCATTTACAACAGCATCAAAATGCTTAAGTTTCCTAGGAATATTATTACACATATTTCTATACATCATGTGTGTAAGTAACATATTTTATGTTTTTTTTATACTTTTTTTTTTTGTCACACCACTTGACATGTGGATTCTTAGTTTCTTAACTAGGGATGGAACCCACACCTTCTGCATTTGTATTGTGTGTGTTTTATATAGTTTTTTGTTTGGTTTTTTGGCCACACCACTTGTGGATTCTTAGTTTCTTAACCAGGGATGTAACCTATGCCTCCTGCACTGGAAGAGCAGAGTTTAAACCACTGGACTACCAGGGAAGTCCTATATATGGTTTTATACAGAATATTCTAAAACTTTCTTGAGACATTGAAAATGATATAAATAAGCATGTTTGGAAATCAGTGCTCACGTACTTATATAACATGTACTTACTACATGCCAGACAGTATTCTAAGCACCTTCCACATATTATATGCAACACGTTTAATCATTCAGTCCTCTCGATCACCCTGTAGGCAGGTACTGTTAGGGTCCCTAATTTACAAATAAGGAAACTAAGTTCTTCAGGGCCTTGGGGCCAGTGAAAAGTGGGGTCAGGGTCTGAATCCAGGAAGCTGAATGCCATTCTTGATTTATTTTTATTTTCTGTTATTTTGGGCACCCTTCTTTAAAGACTACAGGCCGCCTTTTGATGTGGTGGACTCGCTATTGTAAACATGTCAGGCCCACAGATTCAGTGCAGTCCTAATAATAACTCCACCAGGTTCTGCGAGGGAACCTGTTCTGTTTCTAAAATTTATATGGAAGGGCAAAAAGCCACGAACACCAAGACATGCTTCATGGGAGCCCATGGCCTTCCAGGCACCAGGACTCAGTGGGAGGCTGTGATTCCTAAGCAGGGGCGACAACAGACCTGTGGATGGAGCGGACACGAGGCTGAGAGCAGTGGCGGGCACTGTCCCTGGCTATGTGCACACACAGACACACGAACCGCAACGGCACAGCCAGAGATCCCGTAAGACAAAAAACGGCGCGTTCACAAAACTCACGTGCAGACTCGCAGATGATTAAATTACAACAGAATCACATGGAAAAGGCATAACTCTAAAGAATACAGGAGAATAGCTTCATAAACCTGGCATAGGGAAGAATTTTTTAAACAAGATACAAAAGTATTGCTCATAAGGGAAAAGAGGGAGAAATCAAATAATACTGAAATTAAGAGTTTGTGGGCTTCCTTGGGGGCTCAGCGGTAAAGAACCTGCCTGCCACTGCAGGAGACACAGGTTTGATCCCTGGTCTGGGAAGGGCCCACATGCCGCGGAGTGACTAAGCCCGTGTGCAGAAGAGAAGCCGCCACAATGAAAAGCCTGCGCATCGCAACTGGAGGGCAGTCCCTGCAACACACGAAGACCCAGAGCAACCCAAAACAAATCATTTTTTTTTTAATTAAGAGTTTGTGAGCAGCCAAAGGAGGAAGTAAAAAGACAAGTCAAAGCAGGAGAAGTTATTTGCAACACCTATAATCGAATACAGACTCATTCTATGTGAATAGAATATGTAAAGAAAGTCTATATACTAAACAGAAAATATAAAGGAAGTCTACAGATTAGGAAGAAAAAGACAGCCCATAGAAAAATGGGAAAATACTTAAGGAAAAGGGTATCAAAATGGCCAATATAAGCCTTATTATGAATCAGGGGAAAACAAAGCCAGAATAATGCACCGTTTCATATTTGCCAGACTGGCAGACATGACGAAGTCTGACAACCTGGTATCAGAACTTGGTTTCTGGGGAGTGTGTGGCGCAGTAAGAGCCCCATTCACTGTGAGAAGGAGAACAAACTGAACCAAACACTTGGGAACACAGGTTAGAATTACAGTGAAGTTAAAAAATACCAAATACAATTAAATACAATTAAAAACACAAATACCCTGAAACCCAACAAATCCACCGCCCACACCACATGCATCCCAGAAAAACTTTTGCACAACTGTACTAGGAAATGGCAACCCACTCCAATATCCCAAGGACAGAGGAGCCTGGCAGGCTACAGTCCACGGGGTCACAAAGAGCTGGACACAAGCCGGGGACTAAACAACAATAAGTAGGGTGTGTATATATGTATGAATGTCCTTGACAGCCTTTGTGGTAAGAGTCAAAGGCTGGAAACAGTCCAGATGTCCATCAGCAGGACACAACCCTGACCAATGACGACGAATGGACCACAGGTACAGGCGGCAACGTGGTTAAATCCCGAGATGATGTCATTGATGAAAAACCAACAAGTAGAGTGAAACACACACCTAACACTTGCAAGATGAAATGATGTCGTTTAAGGGCAACTACACAGCTGTAAACTTTCTATGGCCAGAAGAGGGATGTGGTTTTAAAACAGAGGACATTCCAAGGCCTGATTTCTTAAATCAGGATGGCGGTTGGTACATGTCCACTTGCTAATTAAAACATACACAGCTATAATTTTTTATACCCTTCTGAGTATATGCTCTATTTTGTAATTTCTATCTTCTTAAGAAGGTACCTATGTTCTGAATAGGAAAAGAGGCCTGCTTTTTTTTAAAAGAATAGCACATCCCAAGCAAACTTTCAAATATCAAAAATATATTTCAAAAGATAATCCAT